TTGCATCCAGTGGGGACATAATTACGGATTATAATGACTTACTAATGAATAATGAATACTGATAATGAATATTGTCTTTTTACGCGCCGCGTAAACATAAAACCATGTCTGCATTTGTGATCGGAGAAACGACAAAAAACAAGCTGCTACTCTACACTGCTCAAAACTCACGTTTGAATAATTAGTGGCAAATTCTTTAAATATGAAAACGTACTTACAGACTGTGAGTCAGAACAGCCGGCATTGTAGTCTACTCTACCAGGATCAGGAAACGTCTCAGGTTACCCATGTAACCATGGTTCCTTGAGAAGGGGAACGAGACACTGCGTCCCCTAGAGGACACTTTGGGGAATGCCCTCAGCGTGACGACACACTGTAAGGGTCAGTCACAGTCACACATCAACGTACAGTTTTATGTTTCACAACCCTAAGTGCGAAAAGAGGCCTTATTGCACAATAGTGCTAGGAATTGGGAACGCGAGAGGCGATACTACCCCTCTTCCCAGACGTTAGTATCTTGAGGGTCACAGCAGGAGTGGGACGCAAGTCGCGGAATAGCCCACCATCTCCACATACCTCTCATTTGTGAGCGCAAAACAGAGGGAACCCCCACCCCCCAAACCCCCCCTTGCGCTAACGTAAGGTAAATATAAGAAGTGGGAACGCGAGAAGCGGTGCTGCCCATCTACTTTTTAACGTCTTGATATTGTGAGGATCATAGCCGAAGAGGTGGGACGCGAGCCGCGGAATAGCCCACCATCTCTGCGCACTTCTCACATCTATGCACACAAACGGAGGGAAACCCCTTCTGTGCTATCACATGGTAATTTACAAAAAGTGGGAACGCGAGATGCGGTACTGCCCATCTACTTTTAAACGTCTTGATATTGTGAGGATCATAGCCGAAGAGGTGGGACGCGAGCCGTGGAATAGCCCACCATCTCCGCATACTTCTCACATCTATCCACACAAACGGAGGGAAACCCCTTCTGTGCTATCACATGGTAATTTACAAGAAGTGGGAGCGCGAGAAGCGGTACTGCCCATCTACTTTAAACCATCTTGATATTGTGAGGATCATAGCCGAAGAGGTGGGACGCGAGCCGTGGAATAGCCCACCATCTCCGCATACTTCTCACATCTATCCACACAAACGGAGGGAAACCCCCTTGTGGTAAGCACTGCAGGTCATAAGAAGTGGGAACGCGAGAAGCGATATAGCCCATCTACTTCAACCGTTATCATATTGTGAGGATCATAGCCGAGGAAGTGGGGCGCAAGCCGTGGAATAGCCCACCATCTCCGCGTAATTCTCACATCTGTGCACACAAACAGAGAGAAAATCTTTCCCTGCGCTGGCACACAGTAAATTAAGAAGTGGGAACGCAAGAAGCGTTACTGCCCATGTACTTCAAACCATATAATACTGTGAGGATTACAGCCGAGGACGTGGGACGCGAGCCGCGGAATAGCCCACCCTTCTCGCATATATCTCACAGTGTTAAGCGCAATACAAAAGGGGAAGTGCCCTGCCTTATTGCATAACAAATTAAGAAATGGGAATGCAAGCTGCAATACTGCCCATCTTCTCAACACACCCATAACAATTCGTATAACAGAGAAAGCTGAGGGAGAGGGACGCGATTCGCGGAATAGCCCACGTTCCTCAACACATCTCACAACCTAACACCGATACAACGGGAAAGCCGCCGTTGTACTGGGAAAATTACGAATTGAAATTAGTGACTGATACCCACTACATAACAAAATTGTAGTAGAAGAAAAATACTTTTCAAGTTGCAAATGACAACATAAAACTGAAAACAACGTTCAACTGCGGCAGTAAGGGCTTTTCTTATTAACAAAAGCTAACAGTAAATCAAATTAAAGCCTTGGACTCAGGGCTACGGCTTGCCTTTCTTGGCTTCGATAATTTCCCTGAGATCCTGTCTCTGCCTTGGGCGAGGTCGCTGCCCAGCGCCCCGACTCCTCGGAGGCGGGGCTCTCGCAGCTACGCTCGCCTTCTGACTCTGCCGCCAGCTGGGCCCGGCGGCAGGCTCAGCTTCAGGTGGTTGATCGAAAGGACGCCGCCTACGGCGAGGGATGTAGTGCTCAAACGCCGCTGACTTAACCTTCGCCTCCCTGAACTTACGGACTACTGTCTCAACAGCAGCTCCAAAAAGCCCGGCAGGCGAAACCGGGGCATCAAGGAGAAAAGACCTGACCTTCTCCTTTAGCCCCGACAGGTTAAGCCATAAATGCCTCTCCGTGACAATGAGTGCCGCAAGAGAGCGGCCGATGGCGCGAGCCGCTTGC